GGTCTGTGATAGCATCTACTGTGAAAGGTACTGGGTCCCTGGTTTCTTCCGCAGTTCTCCACATCCACTAAGATGAACATCACAGCTTGCCGTCTTTGTTGATAGACCACTCAGCTATACTGATCAGTTTTGCATGCTAATCCAGTTTTAGTCTTAAAATGAACCTTACTTACATGCTCAAGACACATTATTTTAATATATAATACTCTTTACTAATACTTCCAATTTTGTACCTGTTTAAATGATGTTAATTTCTCTTTTGAATTTAGCAGATGTGAATCGCACAAAATATATAAAGATGCTCTACTTTTCTCTTACCTGGGAAAATTAAAACTAATATTATTTCTTCCTTAATTATTTAGAAGGTTTTACCAGTGAAGCCAAGGAGGAATTTTCTTTGTGGAAGGCTTTAATTAAGGATCTCATTTCTCTATCCTTAATAGATGTAAGGCTCTTCAGATTTCCTAATTACTCTCATACCTGCTGCATTAAGATGTTCTTCAAGGAATGTATTCCTTTCATTTAAATATATAATCAGCACAGTTATTTTTATAATATTCTTTTTTACTTTACTAGCTATACAATAGGTAGTAGTAACCACTTTTCCATCAATGATAAACATTTGTTTGTCTAATTGATCCTTTGAGGTCTCTGAAAATTATCAATCTTTTAAAATCTGTACCCAAGGCTGCTTGGATCCCCTCTGGGGTTTGTTTATATTGTTATTTCTCTTGGTTTTTTAATGCTGTTATTTTCTTCTGCATTCCTCCTCTTGCAGTTTTTGCATTTATTTTCTTTTGTGTGGGGACAGTACGGGAGTGTCACAGCACATGTGGCAGTCGGAGGACAACCATGAGTTGGTTCTTCCAGGGACTAAACTCAGGTTGTCGGGCACGGCAGCAGGCGCCTTACCCACTGAACCATCTCACCAGCCCCGTTATTGTTATTTCTGTTAACTATCTCTTGCAGAAATTTAAATTTACAAGAAAACCGAACAAAAAGTGAGCAGTTTCACCTGCTGCCTCATCCACTCACCTGACAGTATTACAGCTCACGCTGTAAGGTGCATTCATCATAACTGATTAGCCAACACGAACACATTACTGTTCCTAACGTGTACCGCTGCACTAGGACTCTTTCTTGTTTCCATGGGTTTGCACCATGTAAGTCACATGCTCTGCTCACAGAGCCCCACACCTCAGTGCTCTCCACAGGCAGTCCTCATCCATCTTAAACCCAGCAAGCACTGACCTTTCACTTGTTCCACAGTTCAGCATTACTAAATTCCACTTAGACTCCGATCTTTCCGGGAGACTAACACACTTTGTGTCTTTGTGTGGGTTGTCAATTCACTTCTTTTTTACTGCTAATAATAAACTGCATGAGTGTCCCACGGTTTGTCCATTTACCTACTCAAGGATTCCTTGATTGGTTCAAAGTACTGGCACAAAGCTGCTCTCTGTTTCTTAATGTTCCAAACTGATTTGAGTAAAAAGATCCCTTGGGATATGATACACATGTCGTAGATAGGGTAAAGAATTTATATAGCAATGTGCAAAGCCGAGCAACATGGCAAGTGGGGGCACATTCCACATCCCCACCAGCAGTGAAGGGAAGAGCTCCTGATGTTCCACGTCGCCACTAGTAACTGGTTGTGGATTCAATGTTAACCACTCTGGGTGTATAGTGTTATCTCCATCTTGTATTTATGTAGACCTGTGAGTTACACATATAAATTTGAAGAAATAATTTTCAACCCATGGTTAATGTTATTTCCCTTAACAGAGTTGCATTTGTTTCTGGTAGGCACCTAGGAACATTAGCCATGTGTCTAAGTTTCAGCCACTGTTAAGGACTGAGTTCTGAAGCTCTGCTTCAATATTTACAGACTTGGATTTTTTTGGTTTACCTTTGTCCAGGAGTGAATCTGTAGATCCACTCCAAAGCACTAGAGGATTTACCTGAATTCCTGTTTTGTAGCACAGTCTGGACGCCAATTATTGCTCTGCAAGCTTGTGAGGCTGTCAAACGTTTTCAACTTCCTTAGCCTCCCAGCTCTCTCTTCTGGAATCAGCATTTCCCCTGAGGGAAAAGCAAAGCAAGTGCCATGCTCACCCTCTAGGAACTCCACCCCGGTCACTGGTTTCAATGACTGGCCAGCTCTCGGAGACCTTCATGGAGATATTTTATACTGTTCTTCCAGGGGATGCCATGGTGTCTTAGTCTTGCTCAAACTGTTTTTAACAAAATACTTTAAATTTTGGATAATTTATGAATAATAGAAATGTATTTCTCTTTATTCTGGTGTGTGGGAAGTCCAAGATCACTGCTGAGGACCTACTTCCGCACAGATGCTACCTTCTCACTAGATCTTACCAAGGTAAGAAAAAGACAAAGACAGTATTTTGTGGCCTCTTTAATGTGGGCATCAAACCCGATCGATCACTGGGGCACAGCCACTGTGACACAGCTCTTCCCCTGATTACCTAGTGCATCAGAATTTCATCATCTATTTAAGATGGAGTCTCACTATGTAACTCAGTCTGGACTCAAACTCAGAGCAACCATCCTGTTTCAGCTTTCTCAATTCTGGGATCTGAAAGCCTGGCTTAATGTATAAATACGGCTGGAAGGACAACCAACATTCAAATAATCATAGCCTCTGGGTACATCTGATTGACGTTTCTAAGCCTACATTAACAAAGGGTCTACTCCTTTCAGTTATTTCACGATACTTAATTGCCGTATAATCATGTAAATATACAATCTTAAAATCCAGTTGCTCTCCTTCCCTCTGCCACCGTGCGCACTACACCTTCTCACATGACTTCCAGGATCAAGCAATGCCTGGCCAAGAAACAAAACCAAAATCGTCTTATTCCTCAGTGGATTTGGATGAAAACTGTTAACAAAATCAGGTACAACTCTAAGAGAAGACACTGGAGGAGAACGAAGCTGGGTCTGTAAGGACCCACACAATGGCAAGACTGAGGGTTTATACTGAACTGTGGTCATCCATTAGTCCTACCAGATGGATTTCAACATTTTTTTTTTGTTTTTTGTTTTGTTTTGTTTTTGTTTTTCAACATTTTTAACCTGAAGACTTGCTCGTGTCTAAATTAGGGTGTTTGTCCAGTAATAAAATTTAGAGCCTTTCAAAAAAAAAATCTAGTTGCATTTCAGTTTACTAGTCATTTCAGTTATAATAAAATATAAAATTTACCTTATCAATCTTTTCCAAGATTTAGTCCTATTATTTTAATTAGGCATATATATTCCTATATGGGCATGTGCACCTGAGTGCAATGCTTTCTGAGGCCAGAAGCACTGGATCCCCTGGAACTGCACTAAGAAGTGTCTGTGAACCACCAGATGAGGTAGAACCTGCAAAATGAACTCAGGTCCTCTAGAAGACCAAGGAGAACAGCGGGCCAGCGAGTCACCTCTGCAGCCCTCGTCAGTAAACATTAGTTGAGCATGCCTAATAAACACATATGCACACATATTTATATGTGCACAGACCATGGATAACTGTGTCCTAGATTTACTATAGATAATACAAAGATTAAGAGATCTATAAAACTATGTAAACTACTCTGGGAAATGTAAAAAAAAAAAAGAAAACAAACAAACAAACAAAGAAACTTGGGTTCATTATTCTGTAATTTATGAGGATGTAGATTCACCTGAAGGTTCTCCAGCAGGATTTTGAGTAAAAAGCATTGATTGTAAAATATTAACAGCATAAGGGATACTATGGACTTCCTCAAGATAGGGGTTCATGTCCAGTACTGTCTTCACCCACCATTTCCAAAAGCAAACAACGATTCTAAGTACTAGTTAGCAAATAACTAAAGGGGACCTTCTTTACTCCCACCTTGTGAGAACCAGAAAGTGGGCCCTCACCGGGCACACAATCTGCTTGCACATAAGTAACAGACTTTCTAGCCTCTTCACCGGTGAAGAACACATCTCTACTGTGCATGAGCTATTTCATTTGTGATGTTCTGTTATAGCATGCTGAAGAGATTAAGGAACTATCCTGTCCCCCTTTAAATTGAATCTCATGTTCATCTGCCTACAACTGTTCCCTTTATCATTTTTTCTGTGCTTTTGAAATATTCTATAATTTCTTCCTTCGTAAAGAAAAGCCCACACCCCTCCTTGGCCATTAATACAATTTCTCTGCTGCTTTTCATTATCAAACTCCTCAGATAGACAAATGTAATCTCATCATCATGCCTACCCATGTCATTGATCCAGAGTGATCCTTGTGGGGCATCTGCTTACCTGCACAAGTGTGTCTTTTGGTTCCTCTATCATACTGGCTATTATCCATTTTCTCCTCTTCAATTTCTAAACTTCAAAATTCCTTTAAGTTCAATGCTCAGATCTATTCTGATTGACTTTTACTGCTTTAAATGCCATTTAAATGCCAATGCGTCCCAGCTTTTAATTTATCAAACTCAGTCTACTCTCTTCTAGTCAATTAGAGTCATGAAGTCAACTAATTTACCATCTCCATATAGAAAGAAGATGGACATGCATTGGCATGTATAAGTGTCATATCACTATAACAAGATATCTGAGGTAAACAGCTTACAAAGAGAAAAGGTCCATTCTGGTTCCTAGTTTTGGAAGCTCTAGCCTAAGGTTAGGCATCACCACTGCTATGGTACAGCATGGCAAGGGTTAACACAACATATCACTTATCAGGGAATCTGGGAAACTATGCGAAGCAGAGGGGCTGACTCCCATATTCCTTTCATGTTTTCAGTGCAAGCTTTATGTCCTAAAAGCCACAGTACTTGAAAATTGCTGTGTGAGAAACAAGCCTTTAACTCATGTACAAATAACAGCAGCCTTCCAATACGTCAACATGTTCACGAGTGGAGAGATAGATGGGTCTGCCATTAAGAACACTGGCTGCTCTTCTAGAAGATTCAGGCCCAAGTCCCAGCATCCACATGGTGGCTCAAAACAACCTGGTTAAATACAGTTCCAGACGATCTGGTCCCCACTTCTGGCCTCTATGGACACTGTGTGCATATGGTGCATAAACACGGATGTAGGCAAAACATCGATCGATATACATAAAATAGTTAAATTCTTTTAAAAAAACAGGTTTTTAAAACTTGTCATGCTCAAAACTACATGGTTGTTTTACTCCCAAACCCATCCATTTCATAGTCTTTCTCATGTTAGTAAGTACTAACTTTGTTTTCACAAAGGCTCAGTGTAAAATATTTATCTTCAGCTGAGCAGTGGTGGTGCACGCCTTTAATCCCAACATATGGGAGGTAGAGGCAGGTGGACCTATGAGTTCAAAAACCAGCCTGGTCTACAAACCGAGTTCCAGGACAGCCAGAGCTGTTACAAAGAGAAACCCTATTCTGGGGGAAAAATTATCTTCTTGGAGTTCTCTTTCATACTATAAAACCATTTCAAACATCTGTCTTTAACAAATTTATAAAATGTGACTACTGAGATTCCTTCATTAGATCTCTATCCTAAGACATCACGATCACTAACATGGACTACTCCAAAGCTGTCTCCCTGAGTGTTTTTTTTTAATTATTGTTGTTTTTGCTTTTCTATACAGCAATCTCAGAGATTCTTCTAAAATGTAGTTCAGATCCTATCAATTCTCAGTTCAGAAGTCTTCAATGCAATCCTATTTTATTCAGAACAAAAGCCAAAGTTCCTGTATCGTCTGCCCTGGTGCTGTCTCCCTATCCTAGATACCAGTACCTCCTCCTGTTCTTTCAACGTAACAAGCCATCTGTATACTTTTGTGCTTGCTATTCTGTCTGGAACAAGACCTTCTGTGGTATCTCCTATCCTTTCCTCTAAGTCCTGCTCAAATGTTTCCAAATCAGCCTTGCCTGATCACGTAAAGGGCAAACCACTTACTCCCTAATCCTGTACGCTTACTTTTAGTATTCATCTCCTCCACCTACCTGTCACACAGCCTACTATAATTCATGTTCTTTAGGACAGAATCTGGTCACCTTCGTATTCTAGTGAGGTATACTATGTACTTAATAAATACTCAACATAGCTTCTAAACTGTCTTCGTGAAAACACCGTGGGATAACATCCCACCAAAGCTCAGGTCCACCTAGAACCTGAGGGTGTAATATAATACCCTAAGAAAAATTACTTGGTCTTCCTCATTAGTAGCACAGAGTTCCCCAAACCCCAGGAATTTAAGTGAGAAGGGTACACCCCTGCCCCCCCGCCCCCATAATCAGTAGGAAGTCCTTCTCAATCTCTCCTACTCACAGTAATGAAGCGACTTAAAGTAGGGTCAAGTCAACCTCAGGATGTAGGAGGTCAACAGAGACCAAGAGAGTGCATGGTGATATTTAAGGTCCAGTCATCTAACCTACAGGGAGGGGGAACTGTAAATTGAGCTCTGTCAAAACTCCTCAACAAATAAATTCAAAATCTAGAGAGCTTCTGAGTTGACCAACAAAATAACTCCCCTAGAGACAGCATGGACCTCTACACCCTATACAGTCATCGATATATCTGTTCCTGTGCTTGTTCTTGGTGTCTTTTATAATAAACTAGCACACACCATTAACGTGCTCTCCTGAATCCTAACAAAGTTTTAAATGTCAAAACAAAATTATAGTAACTCCCAGTATGTGACCAGTAGGGTAGTTTACACTAGAGTTGGAGGAGAGCCATTCTTGGAGGGCTAAACGGCTTAACTTGAAAGATTTAACTATTAGTCCAGGTAGTTTCAGAACTGAATCGATCAAGCAAGACCAGTAGGTGTCCACAGAACTGAGGATTGGTTGCTGACACTGAAAAGCACCCCACAATGTTACGATTTGGAAAAAGTCTTTGCAGCTGCAGTCAAGGTAAAAGAGGTTATAGTGGATTAGAGTAGGGATGTTTGCATTAGCATTCCAATATAATCACTCCATAAGACAAATGAATGCATTACAATACAAAGAGTAATATGACATTTATAGGGTAATACAACACTTATAGCTAGGCATAGCTGCACTCAGAAAGCTAAGGCAGGAGAATCAAGCTAGCCCGGAATACATACAAAATTCAACACCACCCTGGGCTACATGAGATCTTGTTTCCAAAATATAGAGGTGAGGACTGTAACACAAGTAGTTGCACTCCCTTGCTGAAGCCTCAAAAAACAAGAATCAACTGGGATTCTCCTTTAATATTAAATCCAATTAACATTTTTCAAGAACCACACTCAATGGTCATTTGCCCCATTAAAAAGTGGTATGTGTGGGTGGTGTGTATCTATAGGGGTGCACAGGAGAATGTCAGGTGTCCTGCTGTCAACTCTCTGCCTTACTCCCTTCAGACAGTGTTTCTCCCAGAACCTGCAGGTCACAGGAGTTGTTTAAGCTGGGCTGACAGTCAGCAAGCCACAGCAAGCCTCTTGTCCCTGCAGCCAACAGCACTGGGGTTAGAGGCAAGCACTCGGCCACAGCAGGCATCACTCATCTTTGGTACCGTCCTTCAACTCTGGCTCCCATGGCACTCGCACTACTGCACCCAGCCATGAGCATCCTTCCTGTTACCAGCCCCTATTCCCCAATCCTAACCGAAACCTCATTCATCTATAACTTACTTACTGATCTCCCTGTCTGGCTCTCCTATTTCTGGGCCCAGCACAGGCTCTTTGCTTGAGCCTAGGGAATGTCTACATGGATATGCTTGGTCAACCTACTACGCACTCCATGCTCTTCATTCTACCACCCAAGTCCAAGTCCATCTATAACCCTGACAGGTAAAGTGACCTCTTCCACTTCTTTATTTACCCGCATATTCCGTTGTGTTCTGCTGTTTTTGAGACAGTCTCACTATGCCTAGGCTTGCTTTAAACTCCTGAGCTCAAACAGTCTTCCTGCTCCAGCCTCCTCAGTAACCAGGACGGCAAGCACACCGTGCTGGAGTGTACTGTATTTTGCCACTTCTCCCCC